AAGCGATGTTCCTTGTACTAACTGTAGGTAATAGACGTATTCCTGCATTTCTCTGGCCAGTAGAATAGTTATAACACACATGGCATGAATATCTGTTGCACTGCATTGAGTTTTGGAACTTATACTGTTAAATGCTTTTGAACTGATATTGCACGTGTAAGTGAGCTTGGGGTGGAAGATCCTTGAGGACCCCTTGTCTTACTGAGATTTCTTGTTTAGAGATCTCACCCCACGTTTGGGGACGCTTATTTCAGGTTCAGGTAACTTGGGGGCTGATGCCTCTGGCGGCAGGAGGCCGGAGCTCAGTTGATGATTATTGTTGTTTATATGTTGTCATGTTTGGATGCTGCATATATCTGCTGATGTTATGTTTTTAGCTTACTTTTAGTATGTTGCTGTTGTTGAGACTTCTGTTGGGCTTGTTGCCTTATTTGGGTGAGCATGATGTTTGTCCATGCCACTTTGATTTCTGTTATGTTTAAGTTATCTGAGTTGTATAAACTATCAGGGTTATCTGCTCTACGTGTTGTAGTTCCGTGACTAGAGACATATTTATGTTGTTAATTTAATGAGGTATTTCAGTTAGAAGTCCTTGCGATTTACATACAGGCAATGTTTTATTAAATGATTAAGTAAGCAAGTTGGTAATGATAATGACGTCATAATTGAAAAAAAAAGATATTCCGCATTTTTAATTAAGCGTAGCTTAATACGATGACATGATAACATACCGGATATATACATGGTGTTACATTGGGCCTTGTTTCCTTATTTGGTGAGCATGGGGGTTGGCCATGCCACGTTTACTTGACTATGTTGATTTTAGATTCGAGTTGTATTATGTATCAGGATTATGGTCCGGACTACGTGTTGTAGTTCCGTGATTTAGATACTCATTTATTTATATTATGAGGTTATTCAGTATATATAGTTTTATTGCAATTCACATAAAGGCAATGTTTTATGAAAAAATGATTAAGTAATTAACTTGGGTAATGATAATGACGTCATAATTGAAAAGAAAAAGTTATTTCCGTATTTTAATTAAGTGCTGCTTAATACGATGATATGACAACAAATCGGATATACACGTTGTGTTACATGACACAACAATGTTGTAGTAAAATTATAACATTCCAAAGTAAATGACATTTTCTCTCGGCTAGAAAGTTGAAGTTTTGGTATGTGCCTATGTGGAATCATGTATTGTCTAAAGCAATCGTAACCCAAATTTTTTGACATAATTCAAAAATAAAAGGAGCATGCAATCTAAAGTTCCCTGTTCCCTTGGACAAATTGACTAATCATCAAGACAAAGCTTGTGTTCTAGCTACTTCTCCACTGTAATAACGTCAGTATTGTTCTAAAGTAGTTTCTTACATTTAATTGCAATCAACTATTTATAGGTTTTGGCTGAGGCACTAATTACTTGGGTTTATTTGGGTCTATATTTTAGGCTCGTAGCCCTAGTTACACCAACTTGTGCACCCAAATTGCAGTTGAGGACATATCTTTCACAAAGCATGTAAAATCTAATTTCTTCAATAACCCATGGATGGAAATATGGAATGAAGCTATCTTCAGAGTTGACGATGCTGAATTTCTACTACTCTTCCATAAACAGAATTGATATATCCACTCTGACTAGGACAAATTCAGATCTTATTCAACGTGGGAGACAGATCACCAAAATAACTTGGCACACCTTTGATCAAAACCTAGTGATGAGAACTAATCATTCGGTTCAATTCGAAATGTAAACATCAATAAATATGTTCCAAGTTTATCGTTATGCAACTAAAGAATTATAAAAATATTATTACTGACCAAGGTTTGAAATAATATATTGCGATCACAGTAATGCATTGTAAGAGCCACTACAACTAAATTTGTGACCATTAATTGCCGCACCAGAATCTTACAATTCCAATTGGAATTGCTTTTTCAAATAAAGCAATTAATGGACTGTAGCTTCTGAAAACTCTTAAATTAAGGCTGATTGATAACTAATTAACTAGTATCAATTGCAAAAAAATTTACCTCCGTAAACTTAATATACTATGAACAAATTGCTCCAGATCGCATTCATGTTAATCTTTTATGTTTTGTTATAAAAACTCTATATTAAAAAAATCTTAACAGAACCGCAAAATTGAATATTTGAAGCCAAAATTGTTAGTTTATTTGGGCCTTTTAGGTCAGCTCAAATGACCCTTTAATATGTGAAGTTGTGAACTATGCTAATTATTTATGGACTAAAATCCCACTCATAATATATAACATCCAAGAGATGTGACTCTTGATGAAAAGATATGACCCCTAATGAAAATATATCACATTCCAATAATCAATTCAAGTATAACATTCTTTGTTATTTTCTCTTGTCTTAAAGAACACAAATCACCAAAAAATATGCATCATAAAGTTTGAAGTAGAATGCTGAAGATCGACAGGTAATACACAACTTTACTACCGCATCAGTATTCCGGCCTTTCAAACTTGTGAGTTATATATTTTTCTTATTTTATATGAATTTATGTGATTGCATGGTATTGTGTTCTCATTTAAGGGAATTTAAGTAGGAGTGATAAAGTCTCGCATCGAAAATGAATGAATTAAGCAAATACATATAAGTAAAAATACTCATAAATCTAATGACTTAAGGTTTTTGATTGAGATATGGTGTCGGATCCATTATTGTGGGTTTGTCGCTTAAGCCCATTTAATGCGAGGATGGTGGTCTACCCTAATTTGGGCTCCCCTGGGCCGATGCGCAACAATAGTATTAGAGCCACGTTGATTTGCTTGTATGTATCAAGTATTTAAAGATTATGGGAATTCAAGTGTGAATGATAGAATCCTGCAATCGAGAGGAATTGGCTAATTAGCATAGTACATATAAGTGAAAAATTCCATAAACTTAATGTCTTAAGATTTTGAGTTGATATGTGTTGTTGGGCACCCTTTTGTTGATTTTTTGTTTAGGTCCATTTGATGTGTAGATGATAGTCTCTCATAATTTGAGCTCCACTATATCCCTTTTTATGGGTTTATCGTTTAGCCTCATTTGATATATGAATAATAGTCTCTCATAATTTGGACTCTCCCTGACTGCTGCCCAACACTTATATTCTACCAAAAATATCCCCTCATGCTTATTGGGGTGTCAAGGATCAAGTCAATTTCCCAGTCTATAATGTACTTATCTATAATTAATAAGGCTTTGTATTTACATTAATGTAAGCATTTTTAGATCTCTAGCTACATCAATTAGCAACTCAGAGATTACAAATTAATATCTTGAGACCACAAAACCAAACTAATTACAAGCGGAACAACTAAAGTCGTATCACAGTGTTGCCTCAGTCATTTATATGCAACAATTCAGTATAACACAAATGATTTATGAGTTACCAGCATTAGAAATGCTTTAACTTATATTTTGATTTGCATAAAAATTCAACCTAATGCCTACCCTAGCACGATCATTTAAGCTATATGTCGACATGGAATTATTTCTCCTTGTAAGTGCGTAGGAGCCTATATTGATCCTGAATATGGACATATTTCGTCGTAACTCTAAAGGGTTTCATTATAACAGTTTCTATAAAGTAAAATTCATTGGTGGTTTCTATCTTTAGCAAAAAATGTTAGGAAATTAATCTTCAAAGGTAACTCGGTTGGTAACTGAGCTTTTAAGGGTTTGCTTGGGTCAGGGGTTCAAATTCTATCGCAAGTAAATTCTTTGAAAATCTCTGAGGGTTAGAGGACATGTTTCTCTCCTTGAGGGGGATTAGTCTCATCCTTCCTCCAGTAACGAAGCTCAATGCACTCGTTGTTTCAAAGAGGGATAGCCTTCGAGCCGTACTTCGAGAATAAAGTGAGCGAAGAAGGTTGAATGAAAATATCATCGAGGTTATACCAAAAAAAATAAAAAATCGTCAGGAAATTGGCCTTATAGATATTAGGGGATACTAGAGTCACAAGTTAAAGATCAAATTGAAGGCCTCCGATCAAATTATCAAAACCCCCTTCCCACAAAAAAAGGTAACCACTTAAGTACAATGTTGAAATGACAGACCTTAATAATTGAAAGAAGGGTCTAGATCGTTGAATTAATCATGGAAAACGGAGATCAGGTCAAAGATATTTATTTAAAATTGAAGAGACAGCAGAGGGATCCGATGATTTTTAAGTTAATCAACTTGCATCATGCATCTATGTGGGACATCATCTTACATATCTGTGGGGGATAGCACTGATTGTGGAAAAGTTTTCAGTCTCAACCAACATGGTTTTCTTTTCTTATCAATGTTTGAGCAACTTCTAACTAATTGAAGACCTTTCTCATTATTCATACATACATACATGTATACAAAACAAAATAAACAACTATGTTATCCCCTCGATTATTGGCATGAAGTATTAGCCAATTCAATGTATCAATTTCTATTCTAAGGAAATGGAACCTCCCTAACCAGGTAACAAGTTTTGGGGAGCATACGTTAAAGTTTTGGGGAGAATACGTTACTGTGGATGTGCGTAAGATTTCAAGGCCAAACCACGTTATTTCTTGTTATTCCTTGTGTGGAGCTATTTTACTTACCATCATTTTAATTTTATCACTTCTATTACTTATTTAGTTATTGTTAGATTAATTCAAAATCAATGAAAGCTAATTTTTTCTTTTTTTCAATTATTGATTTTAAATTAATTTAACGATAACTAAACATGTAGTAAGAGTAATAAATCAAAAATAGTGATAAGTATTGGGTATGAAATATTGAGGATCTTTCTCAATATTCATTCTTACATATATGTATTTCTAATTCTATTATGTCTGAACTGTATGCTAGTACTAATGTGTACAGTTATGTAGTAGCCATTTGTATACATATGTATGTATAAACATACATATTGGTTAAGAAAAATAATTATTAGCGAAAGTAATAACGTACCATTCGTACTTGAGTCATTTATACAATATTATGAGGGAGACTATGTAATTCTACATAACAAAAAGCATATATAATAATACCCCTAGAATACCATCAGCCATCAGCAATCAGCAAAAGCTAAAGGATACCATGCATCATACACACTACTCGGAAGAAAATTCAGTTATTTTCACCACTATATTCGGTACTGCATGTATTGATGAAACTTCACAAGGGTAAATGCAGTAGAAGGACTTACCCAATATTAACTTAATTTCTTCGTCAAATTAAGTCTATGTTCTCATTCAAATAACAAAATACACTCCTTGACAGAGACCAGGGAACGTACGGTTTATGTTGACCCAATAGGATATTGACATTGCTAGAGTTAATTATAACTTCAATTCCAGGACTTCAGCTGAAGTTATACAAGGCCTTGTGTAACAGATTCAGGACTTCAAAATTATTTAGGAACCTGAAATCAATCAAAGAAGAACCCAAAATCAAAATTCATGAGAGATATATTCTAGTGGGATTATAATGCCAAGAATTTTCAAATAAATATTTTTAATATAGAGTAGTATCAACTTGCATTAGAGTAAGTACTTATACTCAATTTTAGCTGTTATTTTCGTACAATTAACGATTGTAAGATTGATTTACGAAAATCAATGATTAAAATTAAATATAGGACTTATACTTACACCAATATAAGTTATTATCACATCACTTCTAATATGAATCAGTTCCATACTCAGGTTGTGGCCAAACCTTTTATGGGATAAAACATCCAAGGCTCTTTATCCCTAATTTGTCATGGAACACGAAAGATTTGTAAAATTGCAAGAATTCAAGGTATTGGATTGTCATGATGCTTTTCCACAGTGTTCGGTATAGTGGGAAGAGTACAGTGTAATTCATGTACGGAGGTCAGATATACATATTGCAGCACCAAAAAAGGGACTTTAATATAAATATGAAGAGAGAAATAAAACTTATTGGAATAAGACAAAGCGTTACGAAAACTAGAGACTCGGGGTTCTGACATTAATGCAATATAAAGCATGACACCTGAAGTTGCAGACAAGAAACTCTTGAAACAGCATCTATTTTTCCATCAACCTTGCATCTTGAATCCCATTTTTTACAATAAATTTTCGAAAATAGTTAACAAGAAAATTTATATATCGATCAAATTTTAAATTCTTATATATTATATCATCAAAGGAATATCCCATTTCTGGAAGAAAGTGCGAACCCAGAACAAGTAAGATTGTGTTGAAAAGCAAACATGTACATACACATATATAACATATTACATAAGCACAATATAGAAATAATTATGAAATTTAGAAACCACAATAACATCTTCATGTTGCATGTGAGAAGGACCAATAGAGAATAGAGGAGAGAGCATTTCAGAGTCCCTACTATATGCTCATTCAGTTTAATGTAAAAACAAAATAAAACAAAGGTAAAGTTAATATACTGTTATGATGTCAATTATGAATGTTATATATGCGATTTAGGGTTTTGAAGCCCATGGACTAGGGTTTACTATGAATAAAATATAAGATGCACTAGGTGAGATCCATAAAGATGATCCTACACCTTAAAATGAACCTTTATGCATTTGATGAAATTTCCTATTCTAGCAATCTTTGCTTACAAAATTCAATTAGTAAACCCTCAACTACAGAAGTTACTGTCCATTAATGATATTTCTAACTTTCAATTATGCCTTTATGATGCATACAATAATGTCAATGGTTCAAACAGAACCCCTTCTTTTCCATGTCAACTTTTGAAAACAGCACCAAATTTATGACAGTGAGTAAGAAAATTTACCACTATTGATCTGAAGAAGCCAGAAAGGAACTTAATAATTTTACTGCATAGGTAAGTTTGATGTGTCTCCATTGGCTTTCACAAGATTTCTCTTCTTCTTTTTCTTCTTGTAAGGGATCCCTCTTGCCTTAGCTTGAGAGTCCCTCAATTCGCGTAGATAAACTCTTATGGCGCCGGTAGCGAATGGATTGGTCTCAGGCAACCCTCCATTTTCTTCATATGCAGCTCTTAGCCTTCCTATGAGTGCATCAAGGCTACCCCAAGCTTGTCTTAGAGGGCAAGTGCAAGGACCAAGTGGCTCAGCTTGACCAAAAAACAAACACCCTTGTAAATGAACTTTTGTTTTCCCAAACTGATCCAAGTACCTAAGGAAATCAAGCACTTGGTTTGAATTGCACTGTGAAAGTGACACAGGAGGCCTCTGATTCCTCAAATACTGTCCAAAAGTGTTCCAATCCCTCCTCTTTTGAGATTCATATCTGCTCAGAGGCTGCTTTTGATTCTGATCATGATCAGCAGAAACAACAGAAGATCTTGATGATCCTTCTGCAATATCTTTTCCTTTGCTAGACATATCTGTTACTGACAATGATTCATTTAGGACTTCTTTTTCTGAAGCAAGAAAGGGAAGTTTTTTTTTTTTTTTGTGCTTTTTGCTTGGATGAAAATGTTTGAGAAATTGGGAGATTGAATCAAAGGGCTAGTGAGGAGACATGGCATAGGACCAATGAAAGTGCTTTGGCCCTTCTTTTTCCTCCTTCACTACATTTTTTTTTCTTGCTTTAATGGTACTATTAGCATTACCCCATACTTTATATTTTTTTATTATTGTGCTTTCATCATCAACGCTATCATTATTGGGTAACTTAGCGTAATTAGTACTATGGTTAATATACCTGATGACTATTTAATAACAGTCTAGGTTATCTAGCATTCAGGGGCTTGTTTGCCACGCAATAGCATTTTTTTTTTTTTTTTTATAAAAGTTAAACTCCATGGCTTTCGTAACCTATCCTATAGCAAAGTGATAAGGTTAGAGTGTATGGTAATACATCTCTTTCACATGGTCATGAAGCACTAAAGTTTTTAATCAAATTTACCTAGTACCTTTCACTAATAAAAGGAAGTCCATCGAGCCAAGATTTAAACATAAAAATTTAAGCATAAATTGAAATAAAATTTCAACTTTTCAATTTTTTTTGTTTCTTAAGAGAATATATCCTTTTCTTTTTGGGTAAAAAAAAAAACGGAAGAATGTAGAATGAAATAAAGTGGAAGGGCTGTTATTTGCACAAGTGTGCAAAGCATCTTAGGGAGTGTATTGGATTAGGATTTTAAAAGACATTTTTTAGTTAAAAAATCTTATAGATTTTAAAAGACTATTTAGAATTGGAGAGACTTTAAAGACTTTTTTAAAAGACTTTTTTTACAATCAAGATTTCATAAGATTGGATTTTAAAGGATTTTAATAGAATTTATAATATTTGAAAGGAAAATATGGATTTATAAGATTTTAAAAAACCATATGAATTTTTAATAAACATTCAAAATTACAAGAGTCAATAAAAAAGGGAAATGTTATACTTACAACCTATTTTTGTTTACAACATTTTACAACCATATCTTAACCGTCGATTTTTGTCAATCAACAGTTATCATTAATTGCAAATTAAATATTAATTAATGAGTTTAATTTGCGTAAATAATAATCATTGATTGCCGAAAATCAACGGTTTAGATATGGTTGTAAACAAAAATAGGTTGTAAGTATAATCTTCCTCATAAAAAAATAACAAAGAAATGCAATGAAATTAATAAAAAAAGTAAAACCTAGTATAATTTTCTCAATCAGTAAAACATAATATAATTTTTAACAAACATTCAAAATTACTAAACAACAGCTTTTCACATATTTAATGGGTTAAAAATTATTTTCTTCATTTGACATCAAAGCTATGCATATATGATTATAAGACCCAATTTTTTTTAATTATAAAAATAATTCTAAATTTGCATATAGAACCTAAAGTTGACTTTTTGACCCTTTTGCCCCTCATTAAATAATTAATAACCAATTTTCCCCTCCCCCAGAACTATCCACCATCCTGCCCCCATTTAGTCGATTAAGTTGCACTTTTAATCGACTAAATGGGCAAAACTCAGAAATCATGAAACGCGAATTTTATTCGACTAAAAACTCACCTTAATCAACTACATTGTTTGCACTTTTAGTCGACTAAGCACATTATTTAGTAGACTAAATATCGCGAAAAACCCTATATCCAGACCTCTCTTGGTCTCATTTTCATTATATTCGAAATCAAAACTCCTCTCTTGGTCTCTTTCTCTTGTTTGTCAGCTGTTAACCTTCCAATCACCCTTCCATTTCATCCCACCACCTCTAAGGCATAGTAATTGTGAAATCATTGTCATTTCCCTTTATTTCTCAATTGTTTTCCCCAAATCCGAACCCAAAACCCTAAAATCTGATTCCTAACCCTAAAATTCGTGTGAAAGATGAGCTCAAGTCCAAACATGTATGTTACTATGATTTACTATGATGGAAAGCATTATGAAGGCCCCAACGGTGTTCAATTTGAAGGAAAAACGAAAATGTTGAAAATCTAACGGGGCACTACGTACAATGAGCTGAAGGGGAGGATTCACCAAAAATTGGGGCTACACGGCAGCTATGGCGTTCAACGGATGATCGCCAGGGTAGAGTCTACAGTTGGTAAGGATGCTATATTCTACATTGGTAATGATATATGTGACGATGAAGATGTGGACTGTGTCATAGATGCAATTGTGGACCGAAAATTTCAAAACTTTATTGAGACATATGTTGAAATAGACTGTGGTCAATCTTCATCTGCACCTGTGCATGGAAGAAGTGAAAGTCAAGAAGACAGAGTGGTCGGTTTATCTGCACCTGCACCTGTCTTAAGTCAGATACCACTGAGGGAAATAGACGAGGATGAGGATGAGGATGACGAGGATATGGACAGTGAAGACGATGGTGAACCCGAGAGTGTTATTCCGCTGGGTGACACCTCAGATATGGACGTAGAAGGGAATTTTGACGCTGATACTAGTTCAGGAAACTTGAGTTCCCAGGTTATGCCACCGCTCCGTGTTGACCCTGTTAGCAGTGGTAAGATTGTAAATTAAAGTTTTAATTTTGCATATATATATATATTTGTGTTTTCTTTCGTACTGACGGATAAGTTTAAATTTGGACGTAGGTTCTGAGATTGAGCCATTTTGGAACGACAGCCCACATTATTCGTTCATTAATTGGGCTCACCCTAATGATGAGACGGAGATATTGTATGGCGACGATGACATCCACGGTGGCTGGCATTTAGGGGATCCATTATATTTGTACCAGGAGTTTCGAACTAAATCTGAAATGCAACATGCAGTCAAATTATATTGTATGAAGTCTCATCGTACTGCTGTGGTGGCAAAAAGTGATGACCATAGATTTGTGATGAAGTGTCGACACCATAATGATGGTTGTCCCTGGTACGTGCGGGCTATGTTGCCCAAGAATGGAAATAGTTGGGTTGTTAGTAAGTGGGGTAAAAAACACACCTGCCTAAACCAAGGCCTTACTCGGGACGATAGACAGCTGGATTCTGATGTAATCTGTGCAGCCATTATAAGTATGTATTACAGAATTTTTGTTTATGGTTTAATTTTTCGGTATATTTATTGACTGTGTTGACTTCGAATTTTGTATAGGTATGTTAAAAGAAGATCCATCCACGAAACCAGTTCTTATTCATGAGAGGGTACAAAGTTTGTATAGATACAGCATATCTTATAGGAAGGCTTGGAAGGCTAAAATGAAGGCCATTGTGAAGTTGTTTGGGGACTGGGAAAAATCATATGCCATCTTACCTGGTTGGCTGACCTACATGACACAGATAAATCCTGGTTCTGTGTTCAAGATTGATACGGATCAGTGTTGTGACGAACGACGTGTCTACACCGATAAGGCTGTCTTTCGCAGGGTATTTTGGACTTTTCACCAGTGCATTGAGGCTTTCAAATATTGTAAACCCATAATCCAAATTGATGGCACGCACCTGTACGGGAAATACAAAGGTACCCTCTTGATTGCTACGTCACAGGATGGTGATGGATTCATTCTGCCTGTTGCGTTTGCCATTGTTCCACCGGGTGAGAGATTGGATGATTGGTTGTGGTTTCTTAGCCAGATGCGTTTCCATGTCACACGTAGGCATGGTATATGTCTAATATCCGATCGTCACTCCAGCATCATCAGGGCTGTGAAGGATCATGCCGGTTGGCAGCCTCCATTTGTGTATCACGTGTTTTGTCTTCGTCACATTGGAAGCAACTTCAACACTAAGTTTAGGGACGTGGAACTGAAGAAAACGCTGATGAAACTAGGTAACCTATTTTCATGAATGTGTACATGTTGTATGTAATGTTGTTTATGTATAACTCATTGCAATTTGGGTTCATTTTTTGCAGGTTACATGTGTTCGAAGATTCACTTTGATTTAAGATTTCAAGAATTTGTCGACAGTAACCCACTAGTAGCCTCATGGATAGATCAGATTCCCAAAGAGAAATGGTGCACGTCTTATGATGAGGAGGGCCGAAGGTTTGGTCATATGACGACTAACCTATCTGAGTGTATCAATAAGGTCCTACGGGGTGCACGTAATTTGCCAGTAACTGCATTGGTCAAGATGACGCAAAGTAGACTTGTAGAGTATTTTGTGAAGAAGCGTGAAAAGATCAAAAAAGAAAAGGACAAAGGCTGGAGAATTGCAAAAAAGGTTGAAACCTTCTTACAAAAGAATGATCAGTTAACTGTCAGTCTCCGTGTTCGTGTTTTTGATAGAGACTTGCAGTTGTTTGAAGTTGAGGATACCTACAATCAATCTACGCATGATGTCGGCGACATTATGAGGGTTGACTTGCTAAATCGTAAATGTCAATGTGGACGGTTCACAGCTAGACGATTTCCTTGCAGTCATGTGCTAGCGGTGTGCAAGGTTGAAAAATTGAACCACTATGACTATGTCGATCCTGTGTTCTCAATTACACAAATTGAGAAGGTCTATGCTGCACATTGGTTTCCAATGGGTAATGAGTTGATCCCAGAAATAGATGGTCCAACTATTATCCCAAATGCATCTTTGGTTTGTGCACAAGGGAGACCGAAGTCTTCAAGGATACAGAATGAAATGGATTGGGTTGAGTCCCAACCCACAAGCAGTCAAACTAGATGTAGCACCTGCAAGCAAATTGGTCTCAATAAATGTACATGTCCTATGAGGATTTATCCTAGCTGAACCAATGTTGTGCATGTATTTAAGGTCTTTTGTAAGAGTTCATGTAATTCTGTTATGAATTTTGATGTTACTTTGTGTTACTGTATAACTCATTATGTTATTTGACTTTTCATTTCTAAGTCCATTATCTAATATTGGTCCATATTGATAGATTGAAACTCATAACTAATACTAATATTACCAAAAAATGAAATCACCAAGTTTCGGGGAGCGTAAACAAACGGTTTCAAGCAATACGTACCCAATCGCATACGAATCCTGTACAATACAATTTTGTACCTGAAAGTGTGTTCCCCAAGTCATTATATGCGTGTACATTGATATTCGATCGGTTCCGTGCCAAAAAAATGCGCGCAAAACAGAATGGGGTGTCAAAACCAGTTATTTAGTCGAGCAACCTGTGCTGGT